CTCACTAGAACATCTTGAAATAGAGTGTACAGAGAAGCTAAAAAGCTAGTAAGCAACAGGAACAAGATTTAAACTCAGGCACTGTAACTCCACAGTATATACTCTTTATTCATTATGAAACGATACCATAACAGCAATGTTTTTGCAAAACAGACTTCTGCTGTAGAACTAAAGAAAGTTAATGGTAGTCATTGTGTTTGAGGGGCTAAGAGTAGGGCTTAAAAAACAACTCTGGTATATATGAATTTTCACTCACAGTTAATTTAATCTAAACCTGAACTTGAAAGCTAATAATATAACTTCTTTTAAAGACCAGCTTATTGCTATCTACTATGATACAATTAAAATATGTTTCAGATTTGCATCAAATGATACTATATATTAATAGTTCAAGTCTTTATGGTAGATGCCAGTACAAAAAGTAGTGAGGACTTTCAGATAGGTACCTTTGATTCTTTTTAAATACAAAGCTTCAGTTACATCCTGCTGTGATAGCATTTGACCCTTTGCTTGCATGAGAACAAACCAGGCCCCATAAAAATAAGTATTTATCTGACATTGTCCTCCCAGGTTACTTCAAAATATAAAATACACAATAACTTGACATGTCTTAAAACAAAAAGGGATAACCTACAAACACGAATCTAAACAAATGTTCTTGTTTATTTTTCTCAAAAAGAATAACCATGATAATCAACGTGTCCATCATAAACAAACAAGCAATATTGTTCTTTTAGATGTTCCCTGAAATGTAGTTATCAAGAATTAGAAGAAATGGTTACACTACTGAGTTGTTCTCTTGCCCTAGAACAGAAGTATATTTCTCATATTCTTAAAAATGAAACATTTTCCCAGCATTACATTACTTTTTAAATAAAAATACAGTGATGATGTTTCCCAAGCTCATATTATGATGAAATAGGCTTATGTTCATAACATGTTATAAAGCACTGAGAAATATAAAATGTTCTGCAAATGTTAGATACCATTCATTACCATTCTTATACTATTTATGTAAGGCAAATATATTAAAACAAAAACATAAAATCATGCAACTAAAATAAATTATATACAGCTATGAGAATAAGTGACTAGGGAAATAATTCTATTTCTATATGGGGAGAATATTGAGAGTAATAATTGAACATTAATTATTACGATTAGATATTAGGATAGATTTTTGTTTAAAAAGCAGGAGTGCTTAAATATTTAAATGTCATTTTAAATATTCAGTGTTATTTACTTTAGATATCCAATATTCTTTACTTACAATCAAGCCACTGTTCGCTTGCCTTTTTTCTCTGCCATGGATCATTTTGTAGAAAATTCCACCTGGATTAAACTGAGTACTCCAAATAATCATATCTCTTTGATAATATACATCCATGCCTGTTATTCTTGAATTATGTTCAATATGAGAAATTTGTTGATGATCGCCACTGTAGTTGAATGGATATATAAAACCCAGGATATCAGTGTCATTAGCAATGTAGAGAACTTGATCTTCAGAGCCTGGAGATTATTATAATAAAATACAAAAATAAAGTAAATGTCAACTAATGTAAAAGTAATGCTTGTACTTTTAAATTATCTTGAATTGTTATTCTTAATACAGTTTCTTCCTCAAAAATCAACCAAATTTATATTATCTTTTAGTCTTCATGACTTATGATTTCCGATACCCATTTATCTAAATATTTGTAATATCTATTGATACAGGTTTTTCTAGCACAATGTTTTCCTTATGATTAGAATTAAGTATTTGTAGAAGATGTCCTTTTTATGAAGAGGGATTACTATTTCATAAGTCTCAATACACTATGTTCTAATGATTTGATTCTCAATATTCAGATGTTATATTGTATGCTCATCAAGCCTCCAAAGTTTCTGAGCATTTAGTTTATGCACCTAAGTGATCATTACTTTAGACTAAAAAATAAAAATTAAGATATGAGAAATCTTCTTCTTCCTGTATCCATATATCTTAAATGCTTGCTAACTTTTATTATATAAAGATATCAGTATTGATTGCATCGAAGTTCCA